TCGAGTCCGGCGCTGTCTATTCCGCGACGCTCACGGCGCTCTTGATCCTCTACAAGTCCAGCTCGTGGTTCCAGTATGTCCTGCTCGACGCTGTGCGTGACATCCTGCCCAGTGCGGTGAACGTTGACTGACGCTGATGGCCGTGCCGCGACCGTTTTGATGGTCGCAGATCTCGCCGATCGTAGGCCTCGTATTCTCTATGATCATCATCCGCATCGGGCTCGGGATCACCACCGTGCGCGGGTCGTCCGTCGGCTTGTCCGCGTCCGGCAAGGAGCAGACGACGATCAGCATGGTGCGCCACCCCATCCAGTTCGCCCAGCCCGCACACGACGCGTCCACGCCCGACACGGAGTACGACGCGAACGACATGGAGCTCGGCGCTGCTTCCGGCCCGAAGGAAGACGACCAGAAGGTGCGTGCCTGAGCAAATGTCCGAGGACCCCGGCGGAAGCATGCTGAGTTCACGGCGTGCTGCTGCTATAGATAAAGGTGCCTAGCTCTGCTGCATTGCCTAGCTTGTGATGAGAGTTGCTTTGGCGGGATGGATCGTGCATGTTGACCTTGCCGCACACGTATTGTCATGCAGAGGACGGATGGAGGTACGTCGACCACGGAGGGTTATATCGGGAGCGTTGAGAGCCATACCTAGTCACTGTGACCGCGCATCGGGGCTACTGCCAGTGTACTGTTATTATAGGGCTTGGAAGTTGAATGTATATGTTGCTCCGGAGTCTCGCTACACGAACGACGTACTTGCAACCATCTGATCGTCAAACGCTCTCATCGACGGCTGAGTCTTTCCTATCGCCGCGCGAAGACATGCGCGACAGTTGAATTCCACTCGCCACAGCACTGGGCTCGACGAGGGCGAGGGCGGTCTCGCCCTCAACGTTCGACATGCCGGTCGCGATGCGCAGCATGATCACAGAGAACACGATGCCCTGTGACGCGGTGAGCGCGCCGAAGCGCAGCGGGACGCGGTCAGTCGCGGCTTCTCATAGTACCGAGGGAAGCGATAGCATCGAGACTCACCACGATAGGCGATACGGAGTCGAGGATAACGTATTGGAACCAGGAGTCGACGTTGTACAGGATGAGGAGGGCGAGCAGCGTTGCCGAGTATATCGCGCCCGACTCGACGATGAGGACCATCACAGGCCTCAGCCGACGATGCCTGAAAGACAAGTGTGCGCGGTTGATCGCCCAGATGCGGTAGGCGACTAGGGCTGTCAAGGGGGTGTCAATCTGGGACTCACGACAGGCTTCCCTTCGAGGGTCGCGGGACGGTGGACGAAGGCTGAAGACGCACCGGTGCAGATAGCATTCGTAGCGAATGTCATGGAGAAGAAGGCAGTGATCCAGTGGCCGAGCTGCACGACGAAGATAGACGCCTCAGGGACGACTTTGTCGAAAGCATACAGGATCCCGATTCCGGTCGCTGCGTGGATGTAGGAGTCACTGTAGGCACCAGGAGAGCGCGAAGGTATAGTGACGTACCAGTACTGCCTAGGAGGAGCACGCAGGGAAACGCGACGACAATGAATCTCCTCTCCCAGACGAGATAGCATCGGTAGAGCTGGGGGTGCATGAGCTTGCCTCCAACGTAGCCTACCTGGGGTACAACTCACCACCATGGCGTCGCCGAGGAGGGTTTGCATAACATACAATGTGCTGCCGAACATCTGCGTAAAGTTGGAGAGCTCATTGAAGAACGCGGCGGGGCCTCCCGGGGCGTCCGCATGCACGATGAACGCGAGTATAATTCGCGAGAAGTTGGTTGCGACGTGCTGATGGGACGATAGAGCTTGAGAATCCTCCGAAGGCAAACACTAGAAGCAAAGCAAGGCAGGCTCACTATGGTTGCAATCCCGAACATGAGTACGAGAACCCCAAGCATATCGGAGCGCAGAGGCTGCCCCGCCGGACGCTTCCATAGCAGTGCAGTGGCCGTGTTGACAAAGAGGGTCACGAATGTGCCTGCGTCAACAGTGAGTTTCGACTTCCACCGTCCGAGCTACGGCTGAGACAGACCATATAGGATAGACTGGACGAAGATCGAGACAAGCTTCGACTGCATACGAATCAGTCATATGAGAGTCTACGGTCACGAAAGGGAACATATCACTCGAACTCACCTCAGCTGCAGAGAACGGCATGCTTGAGGCTTTCCCCCGGGGTTTGGGGCGTCGCACGAGGAAACTCCCAGAGCGCGTCAGATGCGTTTATAACGGATCTCTGCTCGACTTCTGCGGGCGCACGTCAACATTTTTCAGCGGCAAGGCCCCTCGTGACGCGCCCTTCTCTTGATAGAAGCCTGTCATTCGCGTCCTGGACGGACGATTAGTGAAGCACACTACCAGGAATAAACGAGACCCACCCTGTTGGCAGTATCGGAGCTCTATATAGCGGGTAGACATGGGGTAAGTGGACTCTGAATCGATTCTCGTAATCTCGTCAAACCTATGCGAGGCGTACTGTATGTCTTTGTAAGGGGCGGAAGCGGCCCGTTCCCTGAAGATTCCGGCCATGACCTATTCTATGCGCGCAAGTCAGTTGTTCTAGGCAAGCCATCGGGCGGAAGAGGGCACCCTCCTACTAATTGGAGCCAAGGTCGGTATGCACCGCACGAAACTTAGGAAGCGTATGTGGCCATGGCCAATTGTAAAACCTACTGCCTGCGATTTGGCAAGCAGAAGATGACCCTCCAGAAGCCCCTCCATAGCGCAATCTATCCCCGAGTTTCCCGCGCGGACGAGCGTGCGGCCAAGCTGGTGTTGAGGCAGCCTCCGGGTCCAGGCACTGGCGGTGTCTGGTCGAGAACGACGGACGACAGATGGACGCGTGGTCATCATATGCCTTGAACTGCTTCTGAAAAGATATGACGATCTGGCGGCGTCCAGCTTTATGAGGTTGCTTGCTCAAACCTCCTCCAGGAGGTTGTAGGTGGTTACGACCGGCCGGTCAGACCGAAGATCAGTAACTTTCGGACCCCACGTAAACCGCTATGGGAAACGGCTGGACGACCATATGGTAACGCACGTAATACAGTCAGCAAGGCTCACCACGGTAAACGTCTTGCAGCCTCAGACTAATGTGGTTGAAAGAGATGAGTTGAAGGATTCAGAAGATCAAGAAGAAAGATGTGACGGGCGCCTACGAAACTGCCTGTCTGCTACATTGATCGCCTGAACGTTTTGTATCAGCCGTGCCAATACAGCAAGGATCACCACCGGAGTGCGTATATTACAAACGGTACATGTGCATGATACAATGGCCTCCTACATGAATCCTACATAGAACCCCACACTCGTCGTCCATCGCACGAGCTCCAATCCTCCTGAAGAGGGTTTACCGCCTCAGCCGAAACCAGTCTGGTATCGCCTTCCATAGCCGCTCCCGCTCCCTCGCCGCCCACGCCTCCAAATCCCTCGCGCACGCCGTACAGTCCGAGAACTCCGCGCTCTTCAGCTGGCCCAGCTCCTCCGCGACGTACAGCGGGTCCGCGCACCCGCGCTCGCGATCCATCAGGTAGTGCTGCTTCGCGAGCTCGACGAGCTCGCACAGGTCCTTGCGGCACGCCGCGGGCGTCACGCACATCGTCGCGTTGTTCGTCGCGGACTGCGAGCGCGAGTGCCGGTGGATGCGCGGGTTCCGCTGCCGCTGCGGGTCCGAGGAGGCGTACTCCATGTTCTGGATGAGCGCGGTGATGGCGTGCTGTGCGGTCTCTTTGCCGAGCGCGAGCCGCTGCATGTCCGCGGGCGAAAGGGTGTATGAGAGGGAGAGGCTGGACGGAGAGGAGGCTGGATGGAGAGGTTCGCCGGTGCTGGGTTCGTATATCTGGGCGTAACTGTATCGTGAGAGGTCGTAAAATGCCGCAGGTAGCAGATCGTCAGCCCCAATCTCGCGCGCCAGGTTGATGACAGCCTGCAGAGCAGCAGAGAGGCGTAAGTGGGGGAACGAGAAGGCTAGGGCGGGATTGTGGCGTACAATGGGGCTCGGGAATCTGTGTCCCCTCAGCATGCCGGTCTCGAGCTCGTGCGCCCGCGCAACGTCCTCGCGTGCGTCCCAGCCTCTCAGGGTTGAAGGCCAAGCCAGGCGCAAGTGGTCTAAGACCTTCGTGCGTATAGCCTCCTCCATGAGGTACTTGCTAGCCATCCGAAGAAACCCCGAGACGGCTACGAAGTCGTCGCGGTCGTTGTTGGTGAAGTGCCTAAGCAAGCGGTGGCGGTTAGCTTGGCACTCAGACGTATACGGTACAATGCAATGATAATTCAAGCGAGACCCCTGCATATAAACTCAAACAGTGGGCTTGGAAGCGGCGACCACCGCGATTCGCACAAGACAGGCAGATTACACCACCAAGCATGGGATTTACGGCTGTGAGTATACACGTACGGACCGTCATATATCACCTTCACCATGTTCGCGACGTCCTCTGGCGCATCGTGAATGTCGAGGACGGGGCATCCTTCGATGCGTTCACTCTCTGTGTCGGCGGGATCTGGAGGTTGTGGCAGAGAGAACATGTCACGGAAGAACGTTGACTTGCGGCACAGCTGAGACGCATGCACCCGGAAGAGCGTCGACTGAGCGCGAAGCACCAGAGAGCCGTCGTTGAACCAGAACTCCGGATGTCTGTTGAAGTCCAGAGAGGGGGACATGGTCGATGAGAGAGCTTGTGAGAGTATCGGGAGAGCGATCCAATCGACTGGACCACTGATTCGCACTGCCCGCCGCCACCTGGTCGATGCGTGCCCTCTGATATCAGTTCACTTCTGACTCGGCCGACATACGTGGGGCACATACGATGTTCGACGGCACGCAGCCGCAGCGTTAGACGGTCAGAGTTGTGGGCGGTACAAAGGAGGAGGTTGCCAGACTACATTTACGTTAAGATCGGCGACGTCCGATCCCTTCATAAGACGGCGACGTCAGTGTGAGACATTTATGTCATAATTAACGCGGTATATATATTTTAACAAGTATTAACAGGCAAGTCTCTGTTAGTATATCGGTTAGTACACGCGCCTGTCATACTCCACGACCGCGCGAAAGCGGGGTTCGACTCCCCGACAGAGAGTTGCTTTTTGCCCGGCCTTGATATCAGATGTGCCCTTTGTCTTCGCTCCTCTCTTGCATTCCAGACGTTGACCAGAACCAGTAGCCGTGTCATACAGCACCCAGACCTCTCACATTGTCTGCGCGATCAACACGCACCTGGATGCGGAATGAGTATGCTTTGGAGGCCTCACACCAGGGCCTGCTTACTCTATTCGTCGACCAGCCACCCCTCCTCGCTGAGTTTCTTGAACACCTCCCTCCAATCCTGCTCCTCCTCGCGCTTCACCTCTTTCCAATCCACCACATTCGCATTCCCCAGGTTGACCCACTCGCCGTCGCGCGAGGCGTACAGGTGCGGGCAGCCAGGCAGGTTCTCGACCCATCGATAGACACCGCCCTGCTCAAGGGTCGTGTGTGTGTCGACCTTCAGCAGCGAGAGCGAGGTATGGTCGTTGAAGAAGAGGGAGGTGGTGAAGGGCACCTGGGCGGCGGTAGACAGATGGATGAAGCCGTCTCTGCGGTCGAGGTCGCTCAAAGGGAGCTCCTCCGGAATGGGAGTAGGTGGGGGCGAGGGCAGGATTTTGTACACATAGCGGGGAAGAGGGTAAGTCGGCCCCGATTCAGACGTAGCAGCGGCCATACTATCTGCAATGGCGAGCGGACACGGTGGTCTGAAGGAGAGTAGTTCACGCTGTGGCGCTCGAGCTTCGAGGTCGCAGTTCGACTGATCGACACTTGTGGGCGCCCGCTCGGCCTAGCCGACTGCCTTGCCTATCTTTGTCCAGAACGGCCACGTTCGCTCACCCCGGACGACGAGCGACGTCTATGAAGGGGCGCAGCACGCCGCTCTCTCGGTTCGCTATTCACAAATGGCTTCCCAGGGTACAGAAATTCGGTTGGCACAACATCCGGTTGGACGGCTCCCTTTGGGACAGTTCAGCCATGGCCATCAGGACAGGGCGGTTGAACCGTCGTAGCAGCGGATCAACTCAGCTCCTCTCAACAAATAGCACTGCGCACGTCCTTTCTCTTCCTTGCTGAGCGCGACGCACCCTTCTAGGTACCATGCGGTCGTCTGGAGCGTTTGACGATGCGTGCGAACGCCCGACGAAAGGCGGCAGCCTGCGATGGGCGGTGTCCATATGGACCTTGTGCAGCCGTCTTCTCGCCGGTGACACGCACGTTCTCATCAGTGCCTAAAGTGTCTCCACCGGTCGTATAAGTATTGTGCACGCAATGGAGGTCGTCGAGGCCCTGCTCTGACCAAGACCACCATGCTGCACCATAGTTGGGCCAAGATCATAGCCGCTCTGACGCTGCACAGTGCGTTGGCACAGGCAGTGAGCGTGACTGACATACAGGGCCCTGCATATCTGTCCCCACTGAGAGGACAGAGCGTGAGCAATCTCACAGGCATAGTTACCGCAAAGGTACGTCCGCTCACACTGCTACAGTTCACCTGACGTCGAGCCTGACCATCCGTTGCATTTCAGTCAACCTCGGGCTTTTGGATCCAGGGCGACCCTGTCAAGGACGTTCGCGTCTCTAACGGCCTCAGCATTTTCTCCACTTCGAAGACCGTGCTCAACTCGGTCTCTGTCGGGGACCTCATCTCCCTCTCTGGAGTCGTCTCCGAATTCCGCTCGAGCGGCTCCCCAAACAACCTCTTTGTGACCGAGATCGACTCCCCCAAGAACATCGTGGTTCTCTCGTCCAACCACACTGTTGCCCCGCTCGTTCTCGGACGCGACCGCAGTCCCCCGAGGGAGAAGCTCAGCGCACTCGACATTGGACCTGACGGATGGCTCTCTGTACCCAACAACCAGAGCTTGGTGGACACCGTCAATGCGACGCTACACCCGGACGAGTTCGGCATGGACTTCTGGTCGAGTCTCGAGGGACAGCTCGTTACAGTACCCAACCCGGTCGCCCTCGACTTTGAGAACGATTTCGGCGAGTTCTGGGTTCACGGTAACTGGACGGTCACAGGGAAGAATAGCCGGGGTGGATTGACTATTCGCACAATTGGTGAGACAGCTACATTGATGTGAGGAGAGGAATGGAAGGACGGGCACTGACTTCACCCCACTGCCTCTAGGAACAAATGGAGTTCCGGATGCAAACCCTGAGGTCGTCATCGTTGGGTCACCCTTGGATGGCACGAAGAACCCGTCTGTCTCGTTGGGGAAGACGTTCACCGACATTACTGGCATCATTGCGTACCAGTAAGTTGAACCGGGCCGCTTGGAAGTGGCCATCGTAACCGATGGATTGACTGCCTGCCTTGCACAGGTTTGGCTTCTATTACATCCTGCCCTTGACAGCGCCGACCGTTGTCTCGACTCCTGACCCCAACATCCCGGCTTCAAAGATCAAGCCCAGCAAGGACTCCTGCACGCTCACGATTGGCGACTACAATGTACGTTTCTTCGTCTCTATCACCAACATGACCGCCCCTAGACCGTCATTGCACACAGGTCGAGAACATGGCACCCACAACCGCGCACCTGCCTACCGTCGCGAACCACATCGCGAACTTCCTGAACGGCCCCGACATCATGTTCCTGCAGGAGATCCAGGACAACTCCGGACCGACGGACGACGGGACCGTCAGCGCGAACGTCACCCTCGCGACGCTTGCTTCCGCCGTCGCAAGCGCAGCGAAGAGCACCAAAACATACGCTTCGCTGGAGATCGCTCCCGAGAACGACCAGGACGGTGGTGAGCCGGGAGGGAACATTCGGACTGCGTACTTGTGAGTTTCTCGGTTCGCTAGTATATGCGTTCGACAGCATTACTCAAGCGGCATGCATAGGTTCAACTCTACCAAGCTGAGTCTCGTACCCGGGTCTCCCGCCGGCGGCGCTCTGGACGCGACGGAGCCAATCATCGGGTCTGACGGCAAGGTCACGCTCACGTACGCCTCCTTTCTCTGCACCTTCACATACTGCACGTACTGACTGCTACATCACGTCCTCGCATGCAGGTTCAACCCCGGCCGTATCGACCCGACAAACGCCGCATGGGACTCGAGCCGCAAGCCACTCGTCGCGGCCTGGGAGACGGCTACTGGCGCGCGCTTCTTCACCATCAACCTGCACCTCATCGCGAAGCTTGGTGGGTCGTCCACCCAGGGCGACGCGCGCCCACCGGTGAACGGTGGGGTCGAGCAGCGGATCAGTCAGGTTCAAATCATCGCGGTAAGGATCCTTTGATCTTAGAGGACAGGATTGCGATACTAATCCGACGCACATACATGCAGGCGTTCGTGAAGAAGCTGCTCGCGCTCGATCCCAACGCGAACATCATCGTCGGCGGGGATTGCAACGAATACGTCCAGACGCGCTCCGTCTTCGCGCCCTTCGAAGGCATGCTCACCGAGCTCGACGAGGCCGCGGACCTCCCGCTCATCGAACGCTACACCTACCTGTTCGACCAGAACAGCGAGCAGCTCGACCACCTGTTCGTGTCCGACGCGATCGTCCAGCGCGGCGGCGTGAAGGTCGAGCACGTGCACGTGAACAACTGGGCGCCGTCATTGAGCGCGCGAGCGAGCGACCATGACCCGACCGTCGGGCAGGTGAAGGTGTGCTGAAATGTCAATCCTGTATCTGCGACCATGAGTAGTGTACGATATGCCGAAAGCTGGACTGTATATGACACATCGGTGCCAGAGTGAGTGATACAACATTTTGTTACTTCTCCTTGTTCGGCATTTAGGCGCCCACGTCTTCCTCTTCACTTTCTTCGCGCTGCTCCACCATGCTCTTCCGGATCTCCTCCTGCCATACGTTTGCGAACTCGCTGACGTCCCGTCCGCTACTCATCGTGAGTGCTTCTATCGGGACCATGTTGTGTTGATGCGCAGGTGCGTTACGTGCTGCGGCCGGGTGGGCGGGTGAATCCACCACCCGCAGCTCTGGTAGCCTCGACTCTGTTGCGTCTGCCTCGGGACCCGTGCGCGCAAGCAGTAGCCCATGCAGCTCCTCGTACGTGAAGAGGAGCGGGTCCGTGCGCGGGAGGTAAGGGTTGAAGTCGACGATATGTCCGCGTGAGAGGTCACGCGTGAGCAGGAAGTCGAAGGTGTCTGTTCCGATGGGAAGAAACGCGCCGAACGCAGCGTTCGCATGGAAAGCACGCGAGGCGCGACGTGCCAGCGCAGTGCGAGGGTGGGCGGGTGCAAAGGTGCGCCGGTCAGAACCCAGAAACCGTATGCGCGGCTAGAATGCGCGCAGGAGGAGGGGGGACGTACAGTCGCCTTGGGTCTGTTCCCACTTGCCCTTGATGTTCTTCTCCCAGAAGTCGGTGACCGCGCTGATGACCTTTTCTTGCGTCTGCGGCTCGTTCCAGAAGTCGTAGTAGTTTGGGTCGCGTTGGGATATCCCTGCGGCATTCTCCGTTAAGGTTCGAGAGAACGTGCAGGCTGCCGGGCGCACGCACCGATTAGGTTTTCTTGTCGCACAAAACACCGGAGTTCTCTCGCACGGTCGACGGGGTACCATTTGCGAAGGACGAGCTCGAGTTCGTAGGGACTAGAAGAGTCGGCGGCCGTGTGTGGAGGTTCGCAGCCGTCGAATACGAGTTCAGGGTTGAGATCATGTTGCACGAAGTCGGACGATTTCAGAAGGAGGTAGACATCTGCGGGCGATGTACACTTGAGTGGGGACGATGCTGGGAGCATCCACGCTGCATCCTGGATAGAATAGTGGGTTAATCCCATTCATCCAATTTAGCCTTGCATCTGGTGACCGCCGACGCAGCGCCCAATATCGTGGGTTACGCGGCATGAACGTAATGAATGGCGGGCGCAGCAGGGGATAAGCAGCGCTATTATAGCACGGCTGCCAAGGACACGCGGTGACATGCCTTCACGGCGAGAAGAGAATAGCAAGCCCGTTATACTCACCCGTGGAGACGAGAAGTTCAGCTTGGGGAAAACGGCGCCATAATCTGCTACGACTTCTCGGATTCGTGCGTCCAGCTCCGGGAACGCGAACTTTACGGGCTCGTCGTCATCCT